AGCGGGACTGACCTAGGGTGAATTTTTAAATAGGGACAATTTTAATGTTTTTAATAAGACACAGCTATAAATATTTGGTTTTTAATTGGCTTTTTAGGGGAAATGTTTTGTATTGTTTTAATATGCTGTGAGCCGCCCTGAGTCCCATGGGGAGAAGGGCGGCATATAAGTTAAATAATAAATAAATAAATAAATAAATTTGAAGCCTGATTTTTTGGGGGGGGGGTTTGGTTTAGAGTGATTTGTTATTCCATAAAAGATATGGTTTATGACTTGTGTTACAAAAGGGTTGCAGAAGATTCAATACTTTCTTAAGGTGTCTTATAATCAGAAATGTAGGATGGAAGATGGTCTAAAAACAAATATGCATATCAAGGTTAAGAGATGCAGAAGAAGAGGAAGACTATAAATAAGATGGATAAATGAAATCAAAGAATAGTGGAATATCATTAGAAAAATAAAAGCTCTTGCTGGTTATCTGTCAAGATGGCTTCTACAATCACCAGGAGAGAAGCCTGGCTTGTTGGCATCTGATCAGCTAATTATATTTCTACAGTTCTACATGAAAAACCATTGTTTAGTTACTGTTTTTTGCAACAAAACCTCAGAGCTGACTCATAGATAATTTAGAAATTTTGTTTGCTTTCAAAGTGTATTGGCTGCTCATTAGAATTATCTTACCAAAAAGATTCAGTTTGATGAAAAGGTTAAGTGGACCATGCAGTTGCTCCCCACCCCATTGAAGGCACTCTGGAATACTGAAAGTTCATCTGGATTTTTAATTGGAAAACATCCAGGCACCCTCTACTTCAGTTCCCAACTTCAGCACCACAGACCCCTGGACAGCGATGTTTATTTCTTGGCATGGTGCAGCTTAAATCAGAGAAAGTTGGGAGGAGGTGGTAGGAGCAGAAAGATCTCTCCGTGCTGGCGTAACCCAGTTACTCCGATTGGTCTTTTCCTCGAGACAGGCCAATACAATCTTGTAGCGGATACCAGAACAGAGTCATTATTAGATCGCGGCGGGATGCGTGAGCGCGTTGGGGTGGGCAAGAGCATGGGGAGCTGCGCCAGCTTTCTGACTCCCCGACTAGCTGCTGACTCCAACCTCCCAGTCTGCGGGAGAAGCTGGTTAAGGGGGATGTCTAGCTATCATCTGGCATCTTTCGAGAAAAGAAAGGCTATATCCACCATATACCGAACAGTAGACATTCTAGTTCTCTAGACCAAGAATTCTAATCTTCGGGAATATAACAGTGTGGCACAATTCGTTCTTTTGAGTCATGCGTCACAATGGTAAGTAGCGATTGCTCTACGACCACCACTATCACTCCCCATGGGTTTATTTCTATTTGGAGAGGGACTCTGAGAGGAAGAGGAGATCCGTGGACTTTATGCCGATATATAGCAGTTCCGTTCTGTTACCTTTCTAGGACAGAAGGACGGATAGAAACTCGATCCTCACAGCTGTCACTCCAGAACAGCTCTATTAACTTTTAGAATTTAGAGGGAATGCTTTCGGATCAATTTCTTTGAACATCCTAAACTGATGCTGCGTTGTTAAGCGGTATCTCCGATTAAATGGTTTGCGATCCCAAACCATTTGGGTTTCTGGAGGGGCCGATGCAGAGTTGTTCCTCCCACCCCACTTCAGCCCAATCTCCAATAAAGTCGGAGGAATGCTGCTGATGTCAAGAGAAGGCGTGGGTCAACCTTTTTAGATGTAGGAGAGAGCAAATATAAGTACTACGAGTAGTAGTAGAAGCGTCTGCTCCCGCGAGTTAAAGTCCAAGAAATATTCCTCAATCTTCTTGGAGATGACATTTTGCTTTTTTCCCCGTTCAAAGGTTGTGTTCGCTGTCCTTAGCTGCTCGCATCAAATTCCGTGTAGGCGAAATAGCTTATAGCAGGGAATTCTTTGTTCGGCGTGCTGCTCCCGATGAAATACGTGTTAGCCTGGTTTGGGTGCTATATGGTTAACGTCTCTGAACGGTAGTAGCTGTGTTGTGGGACATTGGATACTAAAGCTGAATTCCTAAGCACAGCCTTACATGAGCTCGCAGCTGGTTGAAATTCATGGCACTGAGCGTCGTCCCACCGAACGTTTAATATTTTTACCTTCTCCTCGGGGCGATTGAGAAGCGCAAATAAGCAAGTGTGGTGGAAATAATCGTTTTCCTTCTCATTACGTGTCAAGGTTATAAAGTCTGAGAACGGGTTGGTGCTAACGTTTAAGACTTTTAGCTATCTCTAGAAGGCGTCCATGGTGTTAAAGAGCATATATACCTACCCATCTTTAAAACAGCAACAAAAGGAGGAGCTCATTTCGCAATAAAGTACTTGATTTGGATTTCTGGTGTCCTTCAGACCTTTTAAATTACATTTCTCTCCAGAAAGCTTTCTTCAGATAAGAGATTGTAGTCTAATTCATCTAAATGGCTCCGTATCTCTGGGATATTGTGATCAGATATTTTTATATGAATCATATAAGATATGGACAATTTAAATGACGAAAGCTGTGTTGATCTTGTATGTCTGAAACTTAGTGTTTTCTAATTTTTTTAATAATACCTAGGAGCCAGATAGATGTGCAGGTGATCTGTTACTACTAACAAAGGAGAAGATTTGTAGCTCAGGGTTGACATGAGGTGTCCTTGGTGCTCTCTGAGCTTGCTTGTTTTCTTGCAGACGTTTCATTACCCTACCTAGGTAACATCATCAGTGCTGCACTAATCTGTTACTAAACCATGAAGAATGAATAGCAAGAGGACAGGTTGAAAACCTACTGAGGAATCAAAACTGTAGCATGAACCTACACGGATTCATTCAAATAGTTGAAAGAATCTAAGCCTAAAATCAAGTAATATTCTCTAAATTGTGCTACCAATAATACAAATCTTTATATTTTCTATGATGACTTCTTATAAGGTGAATTTTGTTTCCAAACCAAATAAACCTGCCAGTCAACAGATCAAAATATAATTAGGACAAGTATTTCAAATATTCCCATTGGATCAATGGAACAAATGCATTGTTTTTATTTATTTATTTAATTAGATTTACTGACCTCCCATCTTAACTCAGGGTAACTCTTTTATTACCCAAGTCTGTATGTACGGTATATTTTTTTTGCAGAATGTGCATATGCAGAATATATGCAAACAATACGTTTAAAATACAGTGACCTACAAATGCCCTTTTAAGGGTTTTTTTATATCTCTCTGATTATTTTTGATATCAAAATTGTAGAAATACTACACTTAGAAATCTCTATTAAACAAAAAAAAGTATTGCAGTTTTAAAAAGATGAAAGTGTGAAATATATAGGGATTTATGTGTAAATATGTACTGGTTTCTATTATTAAGATTTAAAATGGCAGTTTATTTTTCAACTGCTACTTGCTTACATTGTATATGCTAGATAATTTAAGACTTTGAACCTAATAGTCTTTCTTTAATGCTCTTCCTCTCTCTGTCCCACTGTGCTTTTAAATGAGAATATATAGCATTATTTTCTCTCCAAAGCACAGAAGTCTAGCCCAGCCCTACCATTCAAATACTTGCAATACCAGCTGCAAATTAAAGCTTGTTTAAAAGGAGTTCTTGAACTAATAAGTGACAGAGCTCTATATGGAATTTAGTGTAAATGCAATTATACTAGTTTGCTCTAAGAAACAAAGAACTTTAATTGATGGTCTAATTGCCATGATGAGGTCTTGAAGCAAAGAAGCTGTAATGATCTTAATTTAAAACTGATTTTCCCATTGTTTTAAAAATCAAATGCTACATGCCTTCAACTAAATATACTCACTTGTAAAATAGAAAAAAAATGAAAGTTATTTGGTATTATCAATACCAAATATCAAAAAAGCAAAATTATGTACTTTTCTCTATTTCACAAGTTATTGTCAGGACCAAAATGGAACTAGAATTAATTATATCAACAGATATTAATATTATTAATTATTAATATTAATAATATTCTAAAACAAAATAAGGTTATTATTATTTGACTAATTCCTTTTCTTTTTATAGTAATTTTATTAAAAATTACAATTACAAAGATAAAACTAATACAAACAAAAAATAGGAAGTGCAGAAAAGAAAAATGGAAAAGAAAAAAATAATATAATCAACAAAAAAGAAATGCACAGACTTTCTCCTTCATCAAAACATTTTTTTGACCAACTCCTTTTCAATTATACACGTATTCAATATTTTGTTTTGAGAAATTTAATGAAATTATTTGCAATGAGTTTACCAGTTCATAATCTATCTATATTTAGTATTACTTTTCAAGTTCTAAATATACTGCTCACAAAAATAAAGGGAACACAAACCCCTTCAGTTCCATGGTAAAATGTTCCCTTTATTTTTTTGAGCAGTATAGTTCAGTACTTGAAGGATGGTCATCTTTGGATTAATGTGAGTTTTTCTAAGATCTACTGAAAATGTTCTTCCATGTGCTGTACCTGTACTGAGTCATGGCTAGGAAAAATAAGCAGAGGAATTAAAACAATAAACAAACCCAAGCTTAGCNCTAGTTTATTGAGACATGCCCACTGCTTGCACTGCTGCATTATGGACCTGTTGAAACTTTTGGGTGGCCTTCAAAGGCAGCCCCACGTAGAGACCATTGGAATAGCAAAGCTGTGAAGTGTACATATGTGTTTACTTAAGAAATGTTTACAGCTGGTTAGAAAAATGTAAAGAGGCTTCAGTTTACTGTTACCTGGAAGCCAGCCAAGTGGGCAAGACATGTTTCAAAAAATAAATGGACCCTTTGCCAAGCAGGTAAAAAAAATGTAATATAAATGCAAGAATTATCGAGAATATGCCATGTTAATTCTCTTTGTCTATGTTTCTTACTTCTGTTTCTACAGTATGGATTTATAAACACATGTCTAAAGTCTATGGTGGTTGAAAAATATGGTGAAGAAATATGGGAAAATTTAAGGTAAGTTATCCCTAGAAAAAATATTCAGAAAGTTCAAATGTTAGAAATTGCTTAAAGCCATTGCTATAGGGTGTCTCAAATCCTTTGACAAAGTCTAAGGAATGGCCTTATCTTAAAGACTGAAAGATTTATTAGACTCATGGAGTTATACAATGAGACTTGACAGATTATGCAGTAATTAATCTATTATTAATATGGTGGTGCCAAACTTAGATGCGGTAAAATTTTGAATGAAGTACTCTTCTGAAGGGAAATGCTGAACTTTGTTACCCTTTGAAGCACTAGATTGGACCCATCATCCTGCTTTAATTCAGAAGCAAAAAAGAGCTCTTTTTCAACCCAGTGAAAAGTTCTAGCTAAATCTAGTCCACCTGCCTTGGTGTTTTAATTCAAACCACCCGAGGCAGAGCAGTTCAGTTTTGCAAACTAAAGCAAGACTCACCATGACAGCATGATTTGAGGCAAGGCCTTGATGCAGAACAGAGTCACTTCCAAAAAAGCTACTTGGGTCTCATGGCCAATCTTCAAATGGCAAACCCTGCTGCTCTATGGTAATTGATGATAGATAAGAGAAAGGGAAGAGTTATCTCACATGGCTGCCACTACTATAGCAGCAATAGGCCCGACACCAATGAGGGTCTCCCCTTACTGTCTTGATCACCCTAAATATTTTATTCTTCTTCTGCTTGACCATTGTGCAAGGAAAAATCTGTTCTCCCTCTCCCACCTGGAATACAAGGCATATATTCCTCAATCCCACCCAACTTCAGACTACTTAAAAAATATCAGTGCTATATTTTGACTATGGGGATTTTCTGTATCTCTTTGCAATCATTTAGTGATTGTTTGGATTTTTTCAGCCCAGCAATGATATGTCTACTGTAGTTTCTCATTCCACATCCTTTACAACCAGAAATAAGCTAAAGAGTGATAATGATCAGCTGCAATCATCAAGGAAGCCACCTGCACTTCTGAAGGCATTGCTTTTAGCAAATGCTACTGCTCAGAGAAAGTGCTTCTTCCCTCATCTATTCCCCTCCTTCTTTCTTTTTTCACTATTCTCAATTGGGGGATTTAATTGGGCTCTCATATTTGGTTTACCATATCTCCACTATTGTATTTGATTACATTTTTAGATATGGTGTCCTTATTCCACACAGTCAGATTTGTTGAGTGTTTATGGAAAGAATGAGGGAATCCACGAAGGAACCCAGACTCCAACGTGGCTTTCTCACCCAGCTTGACAATATTTACAACATTGCTTTTTTGTTTTGTTTGTTTTCTCAAAGCACATATATGCAGTTCTAGAATAAAGTAGAAATCTATTTTGAAGCAATAAATCAAATTATATAATTCCAAACAAAGCATGTGAGGAGTTCACTGCTTTTCTGCTGCTTTTGGGAATTCTTATAGACAATTACAGTGGTACAACTTCAGTTCCATATATGGAGAACATTGAGAAGGTGATTGTGTACAGGGAGTCTTCATCTGACAACTTGTTCAACAACCGTTCAAAGTTGTAACAGTGCTGGACAAGTGGTATTTACAGCTGGTCTTCAAAATACTAGTCATCCCAGCACCCCTATGGTCATTTGAGATCACAACCTGGGTCCTTGGCAACCAGCTTGCACTTACAGTGGTTGCATCCCTGTGTCACATGGTTGCCATTTGTAACTTTCAGCTTCCCAAAGCAAAGCTAAGTCAATGGGGAAACCAGCAGAGAAGGTTGTGCATTGCTCCAGTAAGTTACTCATACCCTCCCCTGCCCAGCGGCAGCCACAACTGGCCTTGCCATTCTCATGCCATGCTTCACACCATATGTTACCTGCTTGCTGGCCTGCTTGTGAATCACCTGGGCTCACTTAATGAGCCACAATTCTTGCTAAACAATGACAATGAGGAGCACTGGGATTGCTGTTGCTAAGTGCAATCACTTGATGTTGCACATTATGACCATACTAGCTGTACCCGGCCACGTGTTGCTGTGGCTCAGTCTGGTAAAAGCGTGTGTTGCTTTTACGTCCAACAGATGGCGCTGTTTTTCAAAAAAGCATGTTTTTACCTATCACAGGTGTGACATCTATATAATATAGGTACATAGAAACACGTGCATATTTGAATGCAACATTGTGTCAAAATTTCAAAGCAATCGGTGAAGAACTTTCGGAGATTTAAGATTTTGAACAAACAAACATTTACATTTTTATTTATATAGATTGCTTAGCAATAGAAATTCTGGCCCCAATTATCATCATTAACCAAGAGTGGAATAGGCTTTCTGACAATAGCATGAAATGCCAATTAATGAGATTGATCTTTCAATAAACTCTGTATAATAAACCTAGCCTTAACTACCACTCTCTTGTTTGAATTGATGCTTCTGTGCTGGACTTCCCAACAGGGAATTCAGCTTACAGTAGCTCTCAGCATTCTAAATACAAGTATTGGCCCAAACATTTATTGTTCATCAAAGAGGAGTGAGGTGGGAAGGCTACATTTTCTCTGTATCAGGCCTTTTCTTTCTGGCTTGCCAATTTTTATTCTGTAAGAATGGATTTCTTTAAAAAAACCCAACAACACCCTCTCTTCTCTCCATCCTTTTGCAAGTTGAATAATGTTTTTACACAAATATTCCTTTGACTGATAATGAACTTCAATTATATTGCACAGACTGATAAATATATATTGAATAGAAGAAAATTTTTAAGAAGAGACTGGACAGCCATTTGTCCGAAATGGTATAGGGTTTCCTGCCTGAGCAGGGGGTTGGACTAGATGACCTTCAAGGTCCCTTCCAACTTTACTATTATTATTATTATTATTATTATTATTATTATTATTATTATTATTATTATTATTATTAAATATATTCTATCATTATGTAATGAATGGGCCATAAAAATTAGGTTATGACATCATTGCTTGGTTACTGTTTTGATGGTTTCATAAATAGTTTTAATATAATACTGTACATTACTGTATATTGCCTGTTTAATATAATACTGTATATTGCCTATGTTGTTACACAGCTGAACAAATAAGATAAAATTAGCATATTTGAAAACTCCCTAAATTTATATCTATATATCTATATCTAATTATAACTCCAATTATTGTGAGATTTGTTTCTTTTGCCTTTTTTGTTATAGAGTCCAAACTGGAGTACAGGATAATTTTTTTACTTTTGAAGTTTATAAAGATGAGATCACAATGCAACTAATTGACAAGGCATGCCAAATGTTAGGTATGTATAGTTTTGAACTAATGCCAAAACCCAGGTATTATTCATCATCATCATCATCAACAACAACAACCACAACAACAACAACATCACCATCATCTTCTTGATGCCTCTGTGGAAGTATTTTTTTTCATGTATCTTCCCATTTACCCTATTGTAACCCTTTACCATAGTTATAAGCTAGAACTATCAGAAATAGGACCCAGTTGCATGCTCCTGAAATGCTGTCATTTTTCTCACACATCACAATGCAATATGTTTTCAATACAGGCAAATTGAGGTTTTGCAGCAAAGACACTTCCTCTGATGTCAGATATGGAAAAAATTTGACAACTGGACAAATGCACATAGATTGAAATGAAAATCTGTCTTCTCTCTCTCTCTCTCTCTCTCTCTCTCTGTTTGTGTGTGTACGTGTGTGTGTGTATGTATGTATGTATGTGTGTGTGTGTATAGGTTTGTGTGTATATGGCATATCCAATTGGCATAGTGTGCTCCCTGCATGTTTTCAATGTCTGGAGATAAATTATGGGTGTGCATCAAAATGCTTCTGAAGAATTTGGGGAAAATAATGGTGGTAATGTGGAAGTATTCTAAATTAACCTGAATAAACTGGTTTTTTAATCTTGAAACATGAACATTTAATATGATAATAATATATTTATTTTCCTAGATGTTTCCCCAGATATGGTCCTAAAACAATTTGGAGAATATTTCTTTGAATTCTGTAAACAGTCAGGTTATGACCATATGCTGAGAACACTGGGAGGAAATCTGTATGAATTTATAGAGAACCTGGATGCATTACACGGTTACCTCAGTCTGTCTTACCAGGCAAGTGGAAATGAATTCTATAAGAATAGTGGAAAAATCCTATTCTTCTTTATGAATTCACTCATATTCTCAATAACAAGATAGGAAAATTATGATGTACATGTATGTGTGTACATGTGTGGGGATGGATGGGTGTCTGTATTTTATGAGTTCTGATGCCTTACTTGGTTACTCAAATCTGATTCCCATTTTTAATATGCATGTTTTTACCAAATCAAATTGTTTCTGTCAGACAACTGGCAATAATATTTTTTATTGTGACTTTACTATAATCAGAACTGAGGCATCAGTTGTAATCCTGAGAAAAATCCATCTTTGGAGATTCCATTTGGATTTGAGAAACATCAGTGGGATAGTCTCCCCCACTTTCCATTAAATGCCAGCTTCAGGTGACAGATTTTTCCAAGGAGTGCAGCAGACAGGAAAACATTAAATTCCCACAATGCATAAAAATTTTCTAGGTGATGATGTTTGTCTTTCAAAATAAAAACTGTACGACAAGTAGAAAGTTATTTGACAGAAAGAATAGAAAGGAGACTTAGCTGTAGAATCCCTGCTTGCACTTCCACCATTGAGGCTCACCATTTTATTTAAAAAAAAAAAAAAGATTTGTAGTGTGCAGTGGGAAAGAGAGCACTGAGAAGTTGATGTGTGATTAGATGAAAAATTAATCTGATAATAAAGATGATGGACATGTAGAAAGCTGTTGTAATGTTCCCACACTGCTATCAAGGAGCAGAGTTCTGATGCCTCAAAATGAGCAACAATTGCAATGTTTCTTTTACTATGGTATCAGTTATTGAAATATGCACGTGACCCACCGTGGAGGAATGGCTGGTGAATTGACAAAGCTTGCTAGGATGAACAAACTAACTTCTTTGATGAGCAAAAGGACAATTCCTACTTTTATTAGTGATTGGAAACCCCTTATGAACATTTTGTGTAAAAATGGGGAAAAGATGAACTTGTGATTTATGGTTTTGATCATTAGACAGGATATATTATAGAAAGAAGAGAGTCATGATGTAACTTTAAAGAGAGAAGTTAAAATAGAATTGTACTTACCATTGCTCTGAAGAATATCAGAAGCTACTTCTTTATACCTTTACTATATCTTTCTCTGCAGCAAGGGTAATATTATTCCTTTTGAGTGTTTTTCAGGAGATGAATGCTCCTTCCTTTAGGGTAGAAAAGAATGAAGATGGGTCAATGTATTTGCATTATTATTCAGACAGAAGAGGCTTATGCCACATAGTTCCAGGTAACTTGATATACGTGCATGCATTTAATATGGGTTTTGAAATGCTGGGGTTTTAATCAACAATGATTATATTAATGTTTGTGGACTTTCCTTTTGATAGCTAGTTAGCTAACTAGCTAGCTAGATATGTTAAGTTCAAACTTCAACTATCACAAAATTTCCTTCTCCTGTGGTAGACCACCAGACCTGTTTAAAGTAAGATGATGATGGTGGCATTTACCATCCTCATGCTTTATTGAGGAATTCTCTTTTTTCGGAGGTTTATGTGGAAACAACATGACAGTAGATAAAATATTTATTACAGGTAATCTTTAGCATCTTTTATTTTATTGTATTTTCAATTCTATTCTATGTTTTTTATTTCCTTAGAATTATTATTCTATATATTTTTTGCCCTGAAAAAGGGTAAGAGGGACAGATGAAGATAATTACAACACCAGTAGCCAAATAATTAATGGGTTATAGAATATTTTAAATATATAACATTTTTTTTCAATTTTTCTGAGCTCATGATTTCTCACTACTATCACCAGTCTGAGGGATAGAAGTTGAACCAAAGTAATTAATGAGCACTAGAGCTGTATGAGATTTGAACCAATAAAACTTATATTTTTTGGAAATAAAATCTACTTATTAAGGCTGACAATTGAGATTGTAGTTGTTGGCAGACTCAGTGTATAAGGGAACAAACATTGCTTGAGTGCTTGAGTACATATGCTAAGGATAATATTACATAAGCATGTGTAATATCGCCTGGATTTTTTTTTCTCTTTGGATTCAGGAATCATTGGTGCAGCAGCTTTGGATTTTTTCAATACTGAAATTTCAATGGAAATTGTCAATCAGACAGAAGAAGAAGAAAGAACAGGGAAAAAAGAACACATTGTATTTCTTGTAACACAAAAACCTGTTTTTTCATACAAAAGAAGAAACAAGTTCTCTTCCTCACACTACCTTCCAAATTCTGGAGCTCAAGCAGAGAAAAGACTGAATAAAGAGGTACTATCACACTTTTTTTTGTGTGAGTGGTATGGTAGCCTAGTGGTGAAGGCGCTTGCCTCCTACTTGGAAGGTTGAGAGTTAAATCCTAGGTAGCAGCAAATCTTTCTCTCTCAGGATGCAAAGAGAGAATATGAACTGCGAACTCCACATAGGCAGCATCTGGTCAGTAAACGCTCAGCTCCATTCCAGTCACCATGACTCTAAGCGATTAGAGGGTCACAATAAAAGGGTAGCTCCATAATGGAGTCATTAAAAAATAATGCTATTTTATGCAGAAATATCAATGTGTGTGTGTATGCATATGTTCCTAGGAGTATACAAAAGTATCAATTTATACATGCCAACTCTGAAAAATGTACTTGTAATTGAGATGGCATTTGTACAGGAGCAGAGGTATCTGCAGGATATAGTACAAAAATTCAAAATGGCAGCCACAATGCCAAGTGTTGTTTCTTATTGAAGAGAGACTGGCCAAGACGGGGAAAAGTCAAATGGGGAATTACTCCAGAATCCCTAGGTGAGCATAAGATAGCAAAGTCTGACTCCACCTTGAGTGCCATTGAAGCTTATCTAGTCTGACCCAGTTGCAAACCACCAGTTTGTCAGATTAGATAAGGGTCAATGGCATTCAAAGGGGGGATCAGACTTTGCCCTTTTATGCCCATATAGGAATTCCAGACTAACTCCTCATTTGACACCTTCCCCTGGCTCAGTCAATTTCTTTCCAACACTCCTAGTGATTTTCTAAGTACAACCCAGGTCTGTTTTTAATTAGCTTTTTCAAGGTTGATAAGAGCTTGTGGCCATGCATATATATTTCAGTATTCAAATTTCTTCATAACTGAATTTGGCATGTTGTAACTGTTGTATGTATACACACTGAAAAATAAATGTGTTAAGATTTTTCCAAGGATGAGCCTAAACTATAATATTTGTATGTATTGTTGCATGCTTACAAATCTGAGGGTATAAATGGATAAGTACATCCAAAAGTGCTTCAATGTTTTTGAAATAATGAGGCATACTTGTACTTATTTCAAGTAATTACAAATATGAAGCATGGTATTTTAAATTGTAATTGTGTTTCACAATTACATTTATTCTTTTGTTAGGAAATAGTTTATTTCTTAGTTTGAAAAATATGGTTAAAAAGTTTTTTTATTGCTTTTGATGTATTCCACAGGAACTTGAAAGAACCATGAATAAGATTAGAGATAAAACAAGTGTCAAAAGGAGCCACTGGGAAACAATCAGAGGAATTGTGACAATAGGAAAAGGTAAATGGGTTGGCTATAATGTCAGTCATTTTTAATAAAAAAAAGGTAAAGGTTTCCCTGTCAGTAGTTTCCAACTTTAGGGAGCCAGTTTCTTGGCTGAGAAACCCAGCGTTATCCAAATTTCCATGGTCATGTGGCCAGCATGGCTATATGCCAAAGGTGCATGAAACGCTGTTACCTTCCCACAAAGTGGTACCTATTAATCTACTTGCATTTGCATGCTTTTGAACAGCTAGGTGAGCAGGAACTGTGGCAAGTAAAGGGAGCTCACCCCATTGTGTGGATCATGGGTCTCGAACTCAAGAAGTCAGCTCTCTAGTAACAAGTTCAGTGTCTTTAACTGCTGAGCCATCGTTTCCCTCTAGCTTTCTAATAGCTTCTATTAAAAAACTAAGCTGAAAGCATTTTATAGGGAAACCCATAACTGATTCCAAATTCTGATTATATAATAATCAATTTTGCTTTTAAAATGTGAATTGTTGGTAGTACAAGCCAAATAGGGCAGGGGATGAGATGTTATATTTTTAAAAAATATATGACAGGACTGCTGATACGCAAAGGGGTACAGGAATTTACTGTATTTTCATTTTTACAGGCTCTTAATTCTTCCATTTCAGTCAAGTTATGTATGCTTTTCTTTTAATGCTCCAATTCCAAACTAATATTAGAATAAATAGTATTTCAGTATTTCAGGGCTTGGAACTGTACCATATTCATATACATTAAAAAAATCCCCATCGATAGACCTGAATTCTTGAAAGACAGGAGTGAATAGAAAAATGAATCTTTATATATAAACAAGTACTAGGTTGCTTCTGTTTCTGTCAATGTATTAAAATGACAATGAAAATATAACTTTTTCTTATTACAGGTCGACTTCTTAGAGGATTTGATCCTGTCTATCCTAGGACCCTCTGGATTGACCCAAAGACTTTTTGCATTGGGCTTCCCTTCCATATTGTTTTTGATGAACAGGTAAGAAAATCAACATCAGTGGACTGTTTTAAAGTGCATGTATGTCTTTCCATAAATAAGTGGGATTTGCTCCCATATAAATGAATATTGGGCATAGATTTGTGGACCATATAAACCTGTAAGAACATACAACTGTGTTAATGTATCACAGATGGATGCTACATGCCCTGAAAATATTTCTGAAGATTTAATCTAAAATCTATCTGTCTGTCTATCTTATACATTCATCCTATTTCTATTTGTGTTGCCAAATTATCCACTATAGTGCATACATACATATATAACTTAGTTTATTTTTCCCCACACATCTTAATAGTTATGCATAACATGATGTGGTCTTGCAAAATGCAAGGTAAAGAATGAAAGGTTAAGAAAACAATTATAGAATGAATGAAGGATTAAGAAAACAGATGTACAGCTGTTTTCATTACAAGAATATATGAGTAAGCAGGCTGGATCCCTTAAATTCAAAGTTGGCAGACTTTGTTTGACTCAGGGAAAACCAAGCAGCAGATTAAAAATAGGGAGAACACATTCAAACAGAATCTGATAACACAATTTTTTTATATATGCCCAGAAGGGCTTTAGGCATATATAACAAAGTATAATGACATCAATATAGCACATGCATCCTGACATCCTCAAATGAATGAGTCAGTCATGTATTTTCTTTATGCTTGATACAAGTACATATATTGCATCATTACTGTGATGATGTCATAATGAACCTGTTATTTGCTTCATGCTTGCCTGCCCTGCAATTTACTGTGGAAAAAGCCCTGCGCAAACATCTTTAGTTCTGCCTGCTGCTAGGCAACATGCATATAGAGCAGTTAATTAGGTCTACCCACTGGCTGATCACTTCTGTATGGATTCAAGAAAGAAATGAGTCCTTTGGTTGTAGATGGATTGGATGTAATAATGAAGAAAGCAATGATAACACCAATAATAAAATCCTGCAGTTTTGGACAATTTATCCAATTAGGAACAATTATAAAAGGCTACATGTAATGTTTATAAAATGAATTTCTACTGACAGTGTAATAGGAATAGGGAAAGCATAAGCAAGAATCCTGTTTGTTTTCTTTTTAAAGCTTAGGGTGAAACAAGCTGGAGTTAGTATTCAAAAGATTGTGCCTGGCCTTCAAATACTGGGCATCCGTCTCAATCAGTACTTCACTATTGTACGCCCTGAAGTGAAATTTACCATCTCCAGTGTTCAGAGATTTATCAACAGCCAATTTGTTTTCCGGACCAAGAGAGAGATGATGCCAGACTCCTGGAAGCAGCGTCCTATGTTAGAGCTAAGAGGTAGTTTTCCCATTTCTCAATAGCTACAGTATTGGGCAATAACACACTGAAGAGATAACTATGTCATGGGAAAAATACAATTTCTCTCTAAGTGACACGTCTGTTTCCATAGGCTGAATTGCTTCAGTGCATGTGATAGAGGCTTCTCCATAAAATATAAAATCTGTGAAATAAAAATTTTATATTAAAAAGAATCTGGCCTTCTTCCTGGCAGTTTTTACATAGGTAAACCCTGAGCTGGCCTTTCAGATAAGAATATAGGTCAAAGGTATACATTATGTTTTGATGCAGGGCTGCCACATGCAAGTGTGCAAGTTGCACACTGCACAAAGTAACCATGCCCCAGGGGTGCCAAATAGCGAGAGTGGTAGTAACCTGGTGCCACATTGCAGGGTGAGAAAATGCCCATCCAGTGAGTATTCTGTGCATTTGCACATACATTATAGAAAAAAAAAGCGAGAATGAAGTGCCAAGAAGCCATAGATGCCATGTGACTTGGCCTTTTGATGGCAAAAAGCTTTTTGCACAAAGGCACCTTACATATCAGTGGCAATTTGGTGTTTCTGTCTAAATTTGGGGGGCTGTTGGAAACAGTATTATGACCATTATATGACATTGTTGCCTTGGCCTTTGATTGCCTTCCCAGTAGATGGGCTGTGATTTTTTTTAATGTTCTGGGTGGGTCAGAAAGGAATCAGATTGGGAAGAGTATACTGTATTCAATATTTAATGCCTGCCCATCATTATTCATTTGTTTGAACCAGGGCAGATGATCTGGATGGAGTCTGTTCAGTGCATGCTGTACCTTTGTTCCCCTCTGCTGCGTACATTGCATGAGTTGGAGGAAAGACACATGCACATTTCTGACATAGCTCCCCATGATGTCACTAGAGATTTGATCTTGCTCAACCAACAGCGGTTGGCCGAGATGGAGCTCTCCAATCAACTGGAGAGGAAAAAAGAGGAGCTGCGGATCCTGTCTAAACACCTGGAGGAAGAAAAGAAGAAAACAGAAACCCTCCTGTATGCCATGCTGCCTAAACATGTTGCCAACCAGCTGAAAGAGGGGAAACGAGTTGAGGCAGGTGAATGCCATGAGATACAGACAAGTTTAGATATGTTCAAGACTGTGATCAGTAATGACTATGATCTCCGTTGTTTGGAATCAGTGGTAGACATTTAAGGACAATGTATATATAAGCAAGTGCAGAAATGTTTTTATCTTCAAAATGTATGGGCCTTGAGTAAAGCTATGTTAGGTCATCTCCCCCCTCCCCACTGACACTCCTATCAGAGAAATGTTGTATATTGATTCCATCTCAGTACTGATTTATTTTTTCCTTCCAGTAATTTTTTTTAAAAATCTCATGGCCTTCACTCTAAGAATGCTACTTTATGTCACTTCTAACTTCACATGGTGGGAGTTAAAAACCTTGCTTAACATTTCCAACAAACAATAATTGACATACTATATCTAGGCTTTCTTATGGAATGCATGCCTTTTTTGTAAAGCTAGTATTTTTTATGTTGAATCTATTGGAGCATTAGTTAGAAAAAATCTTGATATAACACACTACTTTGAAAACATTTTGCATAGCTTTATGAATTTTATCACTTGCCCATTTTCTTGACTGATCTATTTTCAAAGTAACAAAGAAGCTGGATTAATATATTTTGAAAAATACTTCATAATTGATATTTTATAAATAGATGCTAAAATACTAAGTATACTAATACATTTATGCACTATTAATAAGTTTTGTGATCAATTTAATTATGAAACTAGACGTGATTTCTAAAACTCTCCTCTCTTCTTTTTCCTCTTTAACTATAGGAGAATTCAAAGAATGTACTATATTATTCAGTGATGTTGTGACTTTTACTAACATTTGTGCCCAATGTGAGCCTATTCAGATAGTCCTCATGTTAAATGCAATGTATCTACGATTTGACAGGCTAACCACAGTACATGATGTCTACAAGGTATTTTCAATTGATATCCTGAAAGTGATATTATGGGGAGAAAGGAATAGAGATGTCAAGAATAACTCCTTTGTAACTCTACTCTGATTTGGCAGAGGATCATCAGATACCTGTAATTTACTTACAGGTTCCCAACAATTAAATATAAAGTGTCTGCACCAGTAAACAAACTAGACAAACCTCTGTCCAGAATCTTGGAATATACTTACATCCTGATGCTGATACTTCTTTTGCCTTGTTCTGCCTTTGTTTTCTCTTTATTGTTTTCGCTTATTGCCCAATTTTCTGCTTGCTTGCTTGCTATAAACATTTGTTCCAATACAGAATAATAGATATGGCTCAGGGTTCACCTGTGGAGTCCTTAATGTTCCCTGAGCTTGGTTGTTTCTTTTGCAGACATTTCATGGCCCAACTAAATAACATTAATAGTACAAGTGAGTATCAGGTTTGCTCCCTATTTATATACAGTAGCTTGCCCTGCCAGTGTTGGTGGGAACTTCTCGTTGGTAATTCCTTGATTAAGATATTATTTTCTGCTTCTTTGTCTTCTAATAAAATAAATAAGCGATAAACCACATTTATACACCATTCCAAAGAGACAATAAAAAAGCTAAGAAGTAAACAATCTTCTCCAGCAACCAACACCCAGATAATCAGGGATTAACACCAGACAAGCAACCAAGCCCAGAGAGTACCAAGGACTCCAAACTTTTGTTAATATATTTACATAATTTTTGAATAAAACACTAATGCACAATGATATAGTTAATATTTAAAATGTGAAAACTCCATGCTGATAAAATATCATATTAAAAAATGTAAGAGAACAAATAAAATATATGTCTCCTTTTGCAATGCGGGAAGTTTCACATAAAACTTCATTTGCAAATTGTGAAAGAACCTCTGCACCAACCTTTTTCTTTCCATTTGTGGAAAGAGAAAGACTGACTAGTTCCATCTTCAATCTGGCTGTAAATAATATGTTAAATGAAAATCAACATGGTCTTTTGAAATAAGAGATTTATCTATTTCTTTTTTTAGGTTGAAACCATAGGGGATGCCTACATGGTTGTAGGGGGTGTCCCTGTCCCTGTATCAACCCATGCTGAACGGGTTGCCAACTTTGCCTTGGGAATGATCATAGCAGCCAAAGACATAACAAATCCTGTTTCTGGAAATCCTATTCAAGTGAGCAGAAAATAGAAATACAAAAACACATCATTTTTGTGCATAATAAGGTAGCATCAAAATCATGAGAAGTGATAGTATCACTTTATACTGCATTAGTGAGGCCACGCCAGGACTACTGTGCCCAGGTGTGGTCACCATGATATAAAAAAAAGATGCTGAGACCCTAGACAGACTACAGAGCAGAACAACAAAGAAAATAAAGGGTCTGGAGGCTAAACCATATGATGAACAATTAAGATAACTAGATATATCTAGCGTATCAAAGAGAAGGATTGGGATGACATTATAGCTGTCTTCCGGTACTTGTGAGGCTGTCGTGTGTGTGTGTGTGTGTGTGTGTGGATTTACTTGAAAAAGCTGAGGGCAGGATGAGAAATAATGGGTGAAAGCTCATTAAAGAGAGTTCCAACCTGTACCTAAGGAGAAATTTCCTCACAGTAAGAACAATTAATCCATATAAGGGCTTGTCTCCTGGAGTTGTGGGTGCTCCATTGCTGGAGGTTTTCAAGAATAGACTAGACAGCCATTTGACCGGGATGGTATAAGGTCTCTTGCCTTGAGCAGGGTTTGGATGAGAAGACCTCCAAGGTCACTTCTAGCTCTATGATTCTATGATTTGACAAGTATGTATTTAAAAAGAGCAAATCGATTCAGCAGATATTTATTTATTTATTTATTTATTTATTTATTTATTTACTTACTTACTTACTTACTTACTTACTTACTTACTTACTTACTTACTTACTTATTTATTTATTTATTTATTTATTTATTTATTTATTTATTTATTTATTTATTTATTTATTTATTTATTTATTTAAACTCTTGTTCAGATTAGGGTTGGGATCCACACAGGATCTGTCCTTGCAGGGGTTGTTGGAGAAAAAATGCCACGTTACTGTTTGTTTGGAGATACAGTGAATATAGCATCCCGGATGGAGAGCCATGGAGTGCCAAACAAAATTCACCTCAGTGGCAGTGTTTATCAGTGAGTAATGTTACTGTTCTTAAACCATTGATTTATTATAGCCTGGTCTGGTTAGAAGTTAGGAAAAGAAATTTAAGAAAACTAGAAAGCATCCGTTTGGATTGGACTAGGAAAAACTGTTTTACAGTTATATAGTCTGGATTAGGGATAATATACATTCTTTTCTGCAGTGTTTTTATAAATGTTTGAATTTGTCTTTAAAGAAATGAAGGACAATTCATTTTAAAATAATATGTATTCACATTTTAACTGTCTAGATTTAATTCCTTGTACTCGTCCAAAGAATAAACTAATTCTCTTCCTCCCATGTATTAATAAGATAAAATTATAAAGAAAACTCTCCTTTCCTCCCCTCCCCTCCCCTCCTCTCCTCTCCTTTAAAAGCTTCTTCAAAATTCTTTGAGGTTTTTTTTTTTTTACCAATTTCCATTTTCCTAACTTTTAAATAACATCAATCTAAAGAAAAATGCAGCTTAGTTTTTAATTCGGTACAGCAACTCTGGAAACTAATACTAAAATTTACATTCTGCTGAGCTTATTGTGACATTAAAAACATAAGACCAAGAGTAATATGGCAATACAAAGATTCCCCCAACAAGAATGAGTGAACATATAAGTGTAACTTGATACACATCTGTTCAGAGTCATTCCATTCAGTTCAGTGAATGTATTCCTCAAGTGAAGAAACTTCAGATAAGTTATGATTATATATATTATACATATGATTATATATTATGATTCCCAGAATTCACAACCAGGATAGCCAATTGCTATATAGTACTATTTCCTGGGTAGGAAATGATAAAACTTCCTCTCGTTGCTTGTTGGATTGATAGCAAGTTTGGCAACAAGTCTTTGATGGTGTCAAACATTTATGGAGCACAGTATGCATCAATGGAAGTCTCTGTAGTAACATTGTAGCTTAAATTAAATCAAGAAACTATTGTATTACATTATTAATATAGTAATGCTATCTGTAAAAATCTGATCCATGTGCATTCTGTTCCATCATATTAAGCTGTTTGCTTTAAAGCCATTTCTTTAATTCCTTAACCAGGTCTGCCTTGAAATCCCCTTTGTGAAATTTTGCTATCTTGTTTCTCTCTTTTTTTAAAAAAATAATTTATATTGAAAGAAGTTTTTACAAAGATTTTAAAAACTACAGAAACATAGAAGGCAAAACAGGAAAAAGATTATAAAAGAATAAAAGAATTGTTAGAAATAACAAAAAAGCAAGAAAAAGAAATATCTAAAGAAGTGACTTGTTTGGAGCAGTTACATCTCCACCTTCCCATACCGCATATCATAGTTCTCTTCTTCCAATAAACAATCTTTTTAATTAGTAAATCCCTAAATCAACTGTTCATTTTTATCCATTTTCAGCAGAAAGTCTATAAAGAGTTTCCAGTCTTTTATAAAAATAATTTCTTCCTTGATCAAACAATTTAGCCATTTCTGCAAACTTCAGCTTCCTTTTGCATCTTGGTTAAACTCCTGGTTTTTCCCCTGCCATGTAAATAAACCTGGATAAGTCTTTTTGCCACTATTGAGTTTTGCTGCCTTGCTTCTCAATCACTTCTCTTCCTGTTACTTTTCTGGCAGCTGTATTTCAACTTCTATATGTGAAAATGATATATCATATTCTATTTTACAATTTAAAACAATATTCATAGTGATTCACAACAGTATAATAGGTTTCTAATACTGAAGTACTGAAGTACCAGTGTTGAAGGTGCACGGTCTTGGCAGGATTGGCAGAAAAGTTACAGCTGTAAAAACTTCTATCTATTTTTCTGGAGCCATGATTCATTTCCTGCACCTGGAATTATAGCAGATCTTACTGTATCAGTTTTACCAATAAAGCCATTCAGTACAATGGCCAGTTGTGTGGTAAATGGTGAGTGTCACTATTGCCATTGCTTTAGTAAAGACAAACCTTAAGATCTGTTTGTTGTTTCTGGAACAATAATATGGGGGAGAAAGCTATTTCCATAGAACTGTTCAATTTCCATAAAACTATAGCACTTTCTATAAAACTATTTGTAAAAGGTTGATTGCTGATTTATTGTAGTAAAAAAAAACCCCAATGACAAACATTACCCATTACTGCTTTTATGGTTCAGATGCCTCAAAGAGAAGAATTTTGACATTACGGAAAGAGGAGAAATTGATGTGAAGGGCAAAGGGAAAATGCACACTTATTTTCTGGTCCAAAATACAATTGCAACTGAGAATGAGATCATGGGAAGACCAAGTGAAGATGCTGGCCTCAGCCACGAATCTTCTCAGTTGTCTCAAGATTGTAAGGCTGATGGCAAGCAAAACTCATTCTCACAAGGTACAGGAAAGGAAAAGTAATGTATTATTTTATTTTATTTGTTTTGTCTTTCTGATACCCAGTTTCTTTTTTTTTTTTTCAACAAAATTTTTATTGGTTTTATTTTACATGGTGGCAAGGCCATCAATTAATCAAAACAAAATCATATTTATACAATTCAAATTATTTCAATATAATTAACTCAGTTATACATATAACTAATCTATTATTATTTTAATATATCCTACTTCCCCTTAAGTCAATACTAGTAACTCTATTTCTAT